TGTTGTGCAAAGGCCTGACAGGTTGAAGTTGGGGGCTTGAGGCGCGGGGTAGGGTTTAGGGTTTAGGGTTTGGGGTTTGGGGTTTGGGTTTTGGGGTTTGGGGTTTAGGGTTGGGGGTTGGGGGTTTGGGGGTTTGGGGGTTTGGGGGTTTGGGGGTTTGGGGGTTTGGGGGTTTGGGGGTTTGGGGGTTTGGGGGTTTGGGGGTTTGGGGGTTTGGGGGTTTGGGGGTTTGGGGGTTTGGGGGTTTGGGGGTTTGGGGGTTGGGGGTTTGGGGGTTTGGGGGTTTGGGGGTTGGGGGTTTGGGGGTTTGGGGGTTTGGGGGTTTGGTTTTGGGGGTTTGGGGGTTTTGGGTTTGGGGGTTTGGGGGTTTTGGGGGTTTTGGGGGTTTGGGGTTGGGGTTGGGGTTGGGGGTTGGGGGTTTGGGGGTTTGGGGGGGTTTGGGGGTTTGGGGGTTGGGGTTGGGGGTTGGGGGTTTGGGGGGGTTTGGGGGTTTGGGGGTTGGGGGTTGGGGTTTGGGGTTTGGGGATGGGGGGGTTGGGGGATGGGGGGGCTTGGGGCTTGGGTTTGGGGCTTGGGGGCTTGGGGGCTTGGGGGTGGGGTGGGGGTTGGGGGCTTGGGGGGGGCTTGGGGGCTTGGGGGCTTGGGGGCTTGGGGCTTGGGGCTTGGGGCTTGGGGGCTTGGGGGCTTGGGGGCTTGGGCTTGGGGGCTTGGGGGGCTTGGGGGCTTGGGGGCTTGGGGGCTTGGGGCTTGGGGGGCTTGGGGGCTTGGGGGTGGGGGCTTGGGGGCTTGGGGCTGGGGCTTGGGCTTGGGGCTTGGGGGCTTGGGGGCTTGGGGCTTGGGGGCTTGGGGGCTTGGGGAGGCTTGGGGGCTTGGGGGCTTGGGGGCTTGGGGGCTGGGGGCTGGGGGCTTGGGGGCTTGGGGGCTTGGGGCTTGGGGGGGGCTTGGGGGCTTGGGGGCTTGGGGGCTTGGGGGCTTGTTGGGGCTTGGGCTTGGGGGGCTTGGGGGGGGCTTTTGGGGGCTTGGGGGGGGGGCTTGGGGGCTTGGGGCTTGGGGCTTGGGGGCTTGGGGGCTTGGGGGCTTGGGGGCTTGGGGGTTGGGGGGCTTGGGGGCTTGGGCTGGGGGCTTGGGGCTTGGGGGCTTGGGGGGCTTGGGGTTGGGTTGGGGCTTGGGGGCTTGGGGATTGGGAGGCTTGGGGTTGGGGGGCTTGGGGGGCTTGGGGGCTTGGGGGTTGGGGGCTGGGGGCTTGGGCGGCTTGGGGCTTGGGGCTTGGGGGCTTGGGGGCTGGGGGGCTGGGGGCTTGGGGGCTTGGGGCTTGGGGGGGCTGGGGGCTTGGGGCTTGGGGGCTTGGGGGGGGCTTGGGGGCTGGGGGGCTTGGGGCTTGGGGGGCTTGGGGGCTTGGGGGCTTGGGGCGATGGGGGCATGGGGGCACATGGGGGGCATGGGGGCATGGGGGGCATGGGGGCATGGGGGCATGGGGGCATGGGGGCATGGGGGCATGGGGGCATGGGGGCATGGGGGCAGGGTGGGGGCATGGGGGCATGGGGGCATGGGGGCATGGGGGATGGGGGCATGGGGGCATGGGGGCAATGGGGCTGGGGGGCATGGGGGCATGGGGGCATGGGGGCATGGGGGCATGGGGGCAGGGGGGCATGGGGGCATGGGGGCGTGGGGGCATGGGGGCATGGGGGCATGGGGGCATGGGGGCATGGGGGCATGGGGCATGGGGTCATGGGGGGCTCAGAAACCCTCATCTGCCGCAAAGCGCGTGATACTCAGTGGGGCTCTGGGCGAATGCCAGGTTTGTCTGTGGAAGACGCGCGTTCGAGAAGCCGCGGCTGGTATATGAGATAGCTCGGGGTATGTACAGCGCAGCTAAGCTACTTGGAGGTTCAGGGTACTTATAACCCCAGTTATAACTGTACTTATAAGCCCCCTAAGTCCCCTAAGTAGGCTATAAGTAGACATATAATTGTGTGGTTCGTACGTTCTGTATGGCCATGGCAACAGCTGGGTTGACGTCGGTTCAGATTGTAGAACACACCCAAAGTTGCACAGGTCTGTATGGCTTTTGCGAGGGCAGGCCGCAAGGCATCAGGCGCATGAAAACCCTAAACCCTAAACCCCAAATCCTAAACCCTAAACCCTAAACCCTGGTCGGCAAGTGTGGCGGTTCTTCTGCTCCCTGTGCAGCCTGGGCGATGCGAACTGGGTCGTGGTGATGACGTGCCTGATCCAGGCACCACCGTGCAGTGGTCTCAAACCTAGTTTCCATAGCCTTAGGGGGTTTAGGGTTTAGGATTTAGGGTTTAAGCCCTACGAGCTCTGCGAGCCCTATTGCAGCCCCAGACCCTGTAAAAGCCTTAAGCCCTGAACCCCCGTCCTTCCTCTCTGCCCGAAAAGACCCTGCAATATCCGGTTGATCAAACATGTGTAGGCTCCCTAAACCCTAAACCCTAAACCCCTAAACCCCTAAACCCTAAACCCTAAACCCTAATTTACTGCATGTCAGGTCTGGGGCTCCTTATCGGTTCGGGTTCCCACTTGCTTTAAGATCAACGCCTAGGTCCCTGTCATAGCCATTATAAGTCCTATGAAGCCCGAGTAGACCCCCAAAATTACGAGAATCCTTACTGTAAGAGCCCCTAACAAGGATGTCCCAACAAAAATCGGAAGCATCCATCCTGAATCCTATAGTCCCTGGACCCTTGGCTCTCAGCCGTAAACCCTACACCCGAAGCCCTAAACCCGAAATCCTAAACCCGAAAACCCTAAAACCTAGAGCCGAAACCTGAAACCCTGAACCCTAAACCCCAAACCCTAAACCCTAAACCCTAAACCCTAAACCCCAAAAGCTCTTTCAAAGCAAGCCCGTCCCTTACGCTCCCGCCGCAGTCTGCGCGCCCCACGATCGGGGTCGATCTGGGGCTGCTCATGGAGGTGCTTGGGCTTGGGGTTTAGGGTTTAGGGTTTAGGGTCTAGGGTCTAGGGTTTAGGGTTTAGGGTTTAGGGTTATTTAGGGTTTAGGGTTTTTTGGGTTTAGGGCTTAGGGCTTAGGGTTTTTAGAGTTTTTAGGGTTTAGGGTTTAGGGTTCTTTGGGTTTAGGGTTTAGGGCATAGGGCTCAGGGTTGGGGTTTAGGGTTTTGAGAAATTGTATAGGGTTCGGGTCCCGAAATTTGAAACGTTTTGACAGCAAGTTTTGGCAAATTAGAACTTTTTCTAACAATCATTATGTTTGTTTTGGGATGGAAGGCCAGGGAAGGGGAAGTCTTGTCCGGGCGCCTCCCGGCATCTTTCTGCCCCCTCTGCCCTCCCAAAGGCGCTGTGGATGAATGTTGTTTAGGGTTCAGGGTTTAGAGTTTTCGGCTGTTTAGACGCACAAACGCTTTGGATCAATCTGCTGAAGCCTGGCTTGTCAGCTGTTTGGACAAACAGCTTGGAACAAATTGAATGACAGCACGTACAATGTCAACATATTTCGTTTTGAGGGTTTAGGAGGTTCTCAGTGAGTGGGGGGCAGTTGGGGTTTGGGAGCCCCACCCTGAGACTTAGACCAACAACCCTAGACTTAGACCAAAGCCCCCCAAACCCTAAACGCTAAGTAAACCTTAAACACTTAAAACCCTTAAACCCCGCAAACCCTAAACCCGCCAAAACCCAAAACCTAAACCCTCAACCCTAAACCGTGAGAACTGAGGTTGGCACCGATGTTCTCAACGTCGTGAGACGCTCCTCAGGAGGGATGAGGTTCTAGGGTTTTATAGGTGCAGGATTTGGGTTCTGGATTCTGGGTTCTGGGTTTAGGGTTTAGGGTTTAGGGTTTAGGGTTTAGAAACCCTAAACCCTATAGGGTTTAGGGTTTAGGGTTTAGTGTTTAGGGTTTAGGGGGGTTGAGGTCTGAGATGCTTCTGTGCGGGAGACCCTGCGATTGATCCATGTGGGGGTTGCTTGCTGGGGCGGTCTCGATGGGGTGCCTTCGATGGCCGGGTTCCCTTTTTTTAAACAGTGGCCCTTCCAAGGGACCCTAGAGCCTCCCTGACTTAGGGTGCAGGGTTCGGGGGCTAAGGTTGAGCTTAGTTGGGTAGAGGACCCTAAACCCTAAACCCTAAATCCAGTTTAGGGTTTAGTAGTTTTGGGGGTTTAACCAGCATGAAGCCGATGTTTTTCAGACGTCTGCCAGTTGTAGCGTCACCTGGCTCTCGCAAGGTTCTCCATGCCCTTTAGTTGGGCTCGCGGCTTAGGGTTTAAAGGTTTAGGGCTTGGTTTAGGGTTTAGGGCTTCGGGTTTCGGATGATTGAGGCTGTTCGGGGTTTGCGGATCTTGACACGCACAAGCAAAGCCCGGACCCACCCACCAGTCACCGACCTGACAGGTGTCGTAAATTGGTTTGGGCCCCTTTTCGGAGGGTACCTTTTAGGGTGTAGGGTTTCGGTTTAAGCCAGCCATTCGAAAGCTGAGCCCATGGTGTAGGTCAACCCCCGGCATACATTGATAGCCACAAGCTGAGCTGCCCTGTCTGCTCATGGGCCCATGGCGGTTCCGAAGGCGGAGGCGGCATCTGCCAAAGAGGGTCTTCGCTTTCGGGTTTAGGGCTTTAGGGGAAGCTTTAGGGCTTCAGGCTTTCAGAACAGCATCAACAGTAGCATCATTCTGTTGCGCTTGCGGTTATGAGTGTGATTGTTCCATTCTTCTTTCTTGTTTGAAGAATCCATGTTGTTCTCATTCCTTGTAGATGTGTCATCATTACCAGCATGAATTACAAGCACACTTCATAATGCTAACGATCATGTTGAGATGAGGATGTGCTGACAAAAATGATGTGATGAAGATGATGAACGAGGGGTGTCTTCTACATGACGGACGGCTACACTCGCACTCGCCTCTCCCTGCAGGCAGCTAGCGCTTAGGGATTCCGGGAGCTGCTGGTCTTTGGGAGCTTCTGCTCGAGTTGTTTTGCAGGCTTTTCGTAGTGCTTGCGTAGCCACGGCCCTGCTGCAGACGCCATGCAAGTCTTCTTCCTCAATGGCGATTCAATGATACTTGACCCTGAAGAAGGTTTGGCAGCAGCGAAGGCCAAGGTGGCTCAACGCTTGGGAGTGCTTCCGCGGGATGTAAAACTCACCTGCGGCGGAGAGATTCTTACCGAGATGCCAGCACAGAGTGTTCTGCAGGATTCCCTATGCTATGCCGCCACATCAAGGGAGCCGGGCAGTGTGCCTTTTGAGACGGCGTGGGAGTTCATAAGGCTGGAAACCACTGTTTGCATGCAACCCCGATGTCATTTTCACCACGCCGGCTAGCGGAGTAACTAATACCCTGTCTTTAACATAGTACTTTCTCTAATTCCGGAGGAGGCCCTAGACCTCACTTTGTGTCAGGAGTCTATGGGAGGAGGGTTGGGGCATGGGTTTAAGATTCTAGATGCTGGTAGGTCGAACTCAGCACAATGCCCTTTTCTATACTCCCTCCTGCCAGGCAACGGTGGCTACCGGTGCAGAACGAGCGAGAGAGGTTTGATCGGTTGAGAGGACAGTGGATGTTGAAGTACCAGGCGCTTCGTGTGATTGGCCAGTGGGACGTTCAGTCTGCTTGGTTTGACCTGGATGTGGAAAGACTCAGGCTGTGCAAGGAAGAAACGTTATTTTTGCGCGCAGTTGACCAGTGTTGCGAGTCTCTTAGGGCAGAGTTGCGGGCTCTTGCTGTGGATGAGCAGGGTCAGAGGGAGCTCTTACGTGACTTTTTTCTGTCCTTGGACTCCCTTGGTCCTCCAGATCCTTACAGATGTTTTTGCTATGAATGCTGTGGTGAAGCAGGCGAGCTAGACTCTGATGGAGAGGACTATGGACCACCCTGGTACAACCAGGATCACCCTGGGGGTTCGCCATCACACGAATATTGCAAGTGGGAGCGACTGCGTCGCCTGCTTGAGCAACAGGACCTCGACCTTCACCCTAAACCCTAAACCCTAAACCCTCAACCCTAAACCCTGAACCCTGAACCCTAAACCCTAAACCCTCAACCCTAAGCAGCAACAGGAACTGGAGGATGGCATCCTGATCGACCTGCCTCACTGCCGACGTCAGACCAGGCCTCCCACGCGCCGGAAAGATCGTCGCTCAGGCTACAAAGTCAAAGGCACCAGACGATCGCGATGGAAGCGAACTTACAAGCTGGAGTCTTCAGCCCTCGTTAGCGAGTGCGATGTTTAGTTTTGAAGAGCAGAAGCAGCCTCCCAAATTCAGGATCGCTCCGCGCCATACCGTTTCTTGACTGAAGTGTACAGTGTACAGCCTCTCATCGACGTGTGTGGTGCGCCCGCGCCTTTCGCAATCTGAAGAACGTGCAGTATCTTATGCTGGAAACCAGTTTCGCTTGCGTCCTAACCTCTAAACCCTGAATCCTAAACCCTAAACCTGAAACCCTAGCCTAAACCCTAAACCCTAAACCCAAAACCCTGAACCCTAAACCCTTGAGTCCTAAACCCTAAACCTTAAACCCTAAACCCTAGCCCTAAACCCTAAACCCCACAAAAAGCCGGGGAGGTTCCCCGGCGCCTCGCCGGCAGCGCTTCAGCGCCGGCCCTCAAGGTGGGTATTAGGGTTTCGGGTTTAGGGTTTAGGGTTTAGGGTTTAGGGATTCGGGAATCGGGATTCGGGCTTCGGGTTTTGGAGTTTTGGGTTGAAGGTTGCGAATTTAGGGTTTCGTGTATTCGGGTTTCGGGTTTAGGGTTTACGAGTTTGGGGTTGCAGGTTTCGAATTTAGGGTTTCCGGTGAAGGGGGGACGGTTTTAGGCGCTAGGATGTAGCTGGAGGGCTTTTGGTCTGGGATTTGGGGTTTGGGGTTTAAACCCCAAACCCTAAAACCCCAAACCCTGCGGTGCTTGGCGTGGTTTAGGGTGCAGGGGGTGGGTGCGGTGGGTGTTCGCGGGATGGGTGAAGTGAACTGCTTGGGTTCAGGGTTTTGGGCTTCTCGCCGCGCCGCAGCAGTAGATTTCATGCGGAGATGGCGCCCCAACACACCCAGGGGGTGTGAGGGGGCGGCATATGTCACGGTGGCGTATATGGAATTTGGAGCTACGACAACCAGAAAGGTTGGGTTGTTTCTTTTTTCCCACCCCCTGCTTACGCAGGCATTCGCCCAACTTTTCTCCTTTAGTGTTGCGGGCTAACGCCCTACATTCCCACTTCCCATCCCCGTCCTTTAAATAGAGAGTTGAATGAGTTTGGTGGGAAAGTTTTCTTGTTTAGCTTCCAGGCCAGGGGGGGGCAGACAGGCCAGGGTCAGGGGGGCCAGGGGGTCAGGAACCAAGGGGGGCAGGAGGGCCAGGGGGCCAGGGGGCCAGGCAAGCCAGCACAAAAATGAGGAGGCCAAATACGGCAGGGGGGCCAAGCAAAGGCAGCAGGGCTCTTCTGCATGCTAACCTTCGCAGCATCTACGCCACACTACAGCAAACCCTAAACCCTAAACCCTAAACCTTAAACCCTAAACCCTAAACCCTAAACCCTAAACCCTAAACCCTAAACCCTAAACCCTAAACCCTAAACCCTAAACCCTAAACCCTAAACCCTGAACCCTAAACCCTAAACCCTAAACCCTAAACCCTAAACCCTAACCCGGGGTGTAGGGCTCTTAGGGTTCAGGGATTCCTGGGCCCGCAAGACTCCCACCCACACAGCACCAAATGAAACCTTGTAGGGGCAATACTTGCTAGCAGTATTTTGGGCTTAGGGTTTAAGGTTTAGGATTTCGGGTTTAGGCTTTAAGGTGTTCGCTTATGATCCCTATATCGTTATACTACAGAAATATTGTGGGTGGGGGGGGTTCGTTGAAGAAGACATAAGTAGTTACTGCACCTAGAGTCTCTAGTAACGGGTAGGGCCGAAACTTGCACGAAACGCAGACTCTCCATTAGTCTATGCCGGCCATGGGGTTTAGGGTTTTAAGGGTCGAAAAGGGTGTGCAGGGCTTGCAGGGCTTGGAGTGCTCCGGGGCCATAGCAATAGGGCCGGACCTTCTGGCCATGAACGTTTTTTCGAATTATGGTCCCTTTGGAGGGTTCTCCGTATATGGAGTTCCATCACAGCCACCCAAAGAGGACTAGTTTAGCATCACCCCATGCCTAACATACGGGCATACTCAACTACCCTAAGCCCTGATCCGTAGTTGCGTTTTACGGCGAGGCTTGGGGCCTAAACCCTAAACCCTAAACCCTAAACCCAAAACTCGTGGGGGCACTCCTTGTGTGTCCAGGCGCCTCGTGCGAGCCGGCTTTCATCCGACAGAGGCATCTGGGTTTAGGGGTTAGTTAGGTTTCAGGGTTTCAGGGTTCAGGGTTCAGGGTTTAGGTTTAGGGTTTAGGACTGGTTTAGGAATGAGGGTTCGCGTGCCGGGGTCGAGATCGGCTTCGACCCGAAACCCTGTGAACTACAAGCTCTACTCCCTAACTCCATTAGGGTTTAGAGTTTAGGGTCTAGGGTTTAGGGTTCAGGGTTTAGGGAAAGGACGAACACATCTAGGACCCGGAGTAGGCCCTTTTTCTTTTTTTTTCAAGGTTTACGGTCCGTTATCAACCCTGTAAACCCAAAAGGGCACCCTGTTTATTCTTGGGTTACTCCTGGGCCTAGACAGTCCCCAAGCCCTAGACCCTATAGACTACAAACGTTGCAATGCCCAAGCCTTAATTAAAGCCTATCAACTACAACCCCTAAA